CAAAATTATCTCTAATTTAGTAGAGAGTTTCTCTCCTAAATTATCTCTAATTTCTATTTATCCTCTCCCCTACTTTTTATCTATATCTATCTAAAGAAAGTTTGGATTAAAAAATTTAAGAATTATTTAAATATTCTAACAAAATTATATCATAACTTTAAAACATTTATTAAAAACACAAAAAAATAACTTTATATTTTTACAAAATATATCACGAAATTATGTACTAATAATTTAAATTATGTTTTTCTGGATTATCAATTTAAATGTTTTTCAAATATTTAATAATATGTAATAGCTTTAAATAAATAAAACTCAAAAACAAAAAAAATTAAATATTTTATAAATTATTTAAATAGCTCAATATTTATCATAACTAGATGTTAAATAGTTAAAATAATGAAATTATGTAATAAATTAAAAAAAAAAGATCAAAGTAGAAAAATAATTATGACATAATATTGAAATTAATAATAATTTAATATATTTTAAAATTAATAATGAAATTATGTAATAATAGTATAAATTATGATTTTATGGCTAATTAAATTCAATAAATAATTAATATTTTAAAACTTAAATATTTTACATATTATTTAAGTATTTAAATAACTAAATATTTTAAATAACTAGATTTTAAATAGTTAAAATAAAGAAATGGTTAGTTAAAACCAACTGACCTTTTGTGAAAACCGACCCACTCAAGTTGTATTGCTTTGGGTCAATTTTTTGGTTTGGTTAGTTGGTTCAAAAGATTTAAACTTAAAAAATAAATTTAATTTTAAAAATTATAGTGCAATTATTAGAAAACAAATTTAAAAATTAGATTTATGATATAAAACATTTTAGAATAAGAAATATATGAATTTTCCGAATCTTCCATATTAAAAAATTATATTTAAAATATAAAATATTAATATATATCCATGGTTAGGTCGTTCGATTTTGGTCAGTTTAAAATGGCCAAAGTGAAACTGATCCAACTTGGTCGAATTAGGAAACTTTTTAACCAAAGCCGACCTAAACTACTGGAAAACCAACCAACTTGGGTCGAGTTGATCGAGTTGGTCAGTTTCATCAGTTTGATGAACAAACCTAACAAAAATTAATTATTGTTATTTTTGTATTATAAAAAAATATTAAAAGTAGTATATAAAATATGAATAATTATTAATTATTTAAAAAATTGAAAATATAAAACAATTCTGTACTCTTATGAGTTTCTATTAGGGTCATTTACTAGAACGCACATTATAGTTTTCATTTTACTAAAACATCCTATATATTTTATAACTTATTTACTTAATCGACCTTTCATAAATGAGTGTTTGTTTTGCCATTAGGACCATGATTTTTTATTCCAAAAATAGCTTTAACATTTTTTTGTACATAAAACAAAATTGACCAAATATAGCCAATAGAGTAGTTGCTCGTGTCTTATTAAGGGCAAAAATGATATTTTTTATTTTTATTTTCTTTTGATCAAATTTATTTAAATGAGCATTAGGGTCAATACTGTTATTTTCCACTGTCACCTAATGGAAGATTGATTAAATCCATTGCAAATTATAAGTGGTATTTTAGTAAAATGCTAACTATATGGTAGATTTTAATAAATCTATGAAACTACAAGGGATATTTTAGTAAATGACCATTTCTATAATTTAGCTTTTGCTTAATAAATATCATGCTCCACCTGAAAACGTGGGTGGTCGGGTTTAATCTAGTAGGTACTATTTATTTGAAAAGCGGTACTAATTCATAGTCATATAGGTATTTATCGTAAAATGTTTATTAAATAAATATTTGTTTCTGTTTATATGAGAGCCAACCATTAAGAGAAGTTTTATTTTAATGTTTTCCTCAAAATCAATACATTTATTTATTGTCTTGCAATGATGTTTCATGTAATGATGTGATAAAAAAACATCAATAGATGTTTTTCAACTGATTTTCTCATTATTAGTCTAGCCATGTTCTAGTGTTTTTCAATTGATGTTCTGGTGTTCTGATTATCTACCATGTGATAAGTTAAGGGGGCCTTGGATTGCAAGTGTTCTTTAGTATGGATATGAAATTGGTGGGTGTGGACCATCCACACCACACCCTCTAGCAAGGACCAATCTACACTACACCACAATACACAGTTGTTCTGATCTGTGGATAGATTGTGTGGACTGGACTAGTTCACACCCATGCTGGCGTTTTGTAGGTGTGGTGTGGACTGGTCCATATCATACTTTTTGATTTCATGCATCTCATATACATTTTATGGGAGATCTACATAATAAATGTCTAATTTTTTGCATTTTATATGGTAAATAAATTAAAAAAATGCATCAATATGTAAACAATAATTGCATTTTTTAAATAATTAAAAAAAATATTATTTTATTGATGAAATATTAAAAAATTAATATTTAAATAATGAAAAAAGAGTTGAGAATGAGAACCAGCGGACTTGTGCTAGAATTAACATTAAAAATTATTATTTTATTGCTAAAATATTA